TGCTGGGTGCAGTGGCAATGGGGGTGTGGCTTAGTGGTTAAACAAGCCTGGGTTTAATCCTTGATACAAAAAAAAAAAAAATTACACACATGCACAACTCATACAAATATAGGATGAACGTATGTCAAGGATTTGCTTGACTCCTTAGTTAATTAAGGAAACACTTATAGGAAAAAATATTTTAAAACTTTTTGAGAAATGGTTACCTGTAAGCATTTTTAAAAAAATGAATACTAGAATAAGATTGCTAAATTAGATACAGAGGTGCCTAATATACAGGGAAATAAAACCATAACTTGTTCTTCTCTACTAGATAGGAAGTTATAAGTTAGTATGTAAATTTTGAAGAGTTTGGATTCTAATCAAATATTAAATACCAAAATCATACTTAGTTAAATTATCCTAGAGACTTAATAATCCCTTGGTGTACTTGTTAATTAGTGCTTCATTATGACATTGAAAAGATATGTATTCATTTCTAGTGTCTGAGTCCTGAATAATTTTTATTAACTATATTCTTGATTATCACAAATACTTGACTGAGTAAAATAGACAGAGGTACCTTTTATGTGCTTTAAATCTTCTTGCACAATTTAGAGTGAAGAGGCTGTTCATGCCAGCAGGTTAGACACTTGGTATATAATTCACTGACTTCCAGCCAGTCAAGACCTTTCTGCTATTATTTTCTTCTACTGCAAAAGGAAGAGCTGGAATAAATAGTTAATTAAATTTCTTCCAGTATTAATATGTTATAATTCTTGAAAAATGGAATTATCAAGAGAAAATACCTTGATCCTTTAGCTGGTACATGAAGTTAGGCAACAGCACCCCCTAAAGGGTTCTCTGTTAGTTCTAGGCAAGTCAGCCTCATTATCCTATAATGTCCCGGAAACTTTCCCTCACAAGAGAGATTTGGAAACAGGTCCTGTTGGGACTTGATTTAGTTAGTCTGTATATGTTTTCTATTGCCACAATAATTCTGCATAACAAACCACTACACTGCTTCCTGTACTTACAGCAGATATTTGCTTTTGCTTTCTTGTCTGTGGATCAGTTGAGAAGTTGTTTTGATCTCAGTTAAGCTTGCCTAAGTTGTCCATCTCTCTTAAATGAGACACACTTGCATGTCTACTGTAAGCTAGCTATTTGGTGATCTATGATAGCCTTACTTCAATAACTGGTTCTGCTCCAAAGGATCTCTCATCCTCCAATCGGCTGTCCCAGGCCTGTTCTTTATGGTGGTGGTGGCAGTGTTTCAAGAGAGAGTGGAAGCAAGCAAGAACTCTTGAGGTTAAGACACAGAAACAACACACCATGGTTTCCACTACATACTATTAGCCAAAAAAAAGTCATAAGGAAGCTTATTGGGACATAGATATGATTATTTGGTGCCATTTTAAAAACAATCTGTTATACAGAACATGATTCACAGGATTTTGGGAAGTTCCAGGAGAATAACAGAATAAGGTCTAAAAGGAATGAAGAATGTAGATAGTCCTGTGCTTTGTTCTATGGATCAGTTAAGTTCAGTTTCATCCTTCCCAGTCTTGCTATTAAAATTTATAAGGCAGCACCAGGGCAATATTTAGAGCTATTTATACTGTACTACCGAGGTTAGGACCTTCTGAGCCCTCTACCAAATGCTACATGAATGTTGACATTTTCCAGTCTGGCTGTTGGGAACATAACATTATTCCTGGCTTCATGAGAGCATCAGATACTGTTTCCTCAAATCCTTTAAGATGGTCCTTTATTTCAGCCTTGGGTAGTTACCCCACACTCTTAAACTGACCTTGGCTTAGCAAAATACCAAATAGGGCATGCTTTAGATTTTTGGAGTTCCACTTTGTTCTGCTTTCTCTCTGTTACTTTGCCCTGAGAACTCTAGTCTCTGGTCTCCCCAGACTGTTAGATCCATCTCTTCAATTCAAAGAATCTTCCAGTTTTTTTCTGGGTTCCCTTTTATTGCACTACATCAAGGAAACCTTTATTGCACTACAGCAAAAAAAACTAAGTTTGTTTCTCCCCTCTCAGTGATTATGGCTCTAATACCCAGTGTCTTTTAAAAAAAGTTATTTTGTCTAGTTTTTTGGTAATTTTAGGAAGAAGGATAAATTTAGCCTCTGTCACTCCATTTTGGCTGGAACTAGAAATCTTCAAATTCTTAGAATTTAGTGTTAGGAAAAATAAAGGTTTCTAAAGATCATAGACACCCCAACTTTCAGTGAACAAAGAGAGTATGGAAAACATCAGATTACATTTTAAAATATATATAAATCTCTGCTATGTGTTTAATTCATTCTTTTTCACTGTCTTCCTCACTATTCTTAGGATACTTAACATTTTGTGTCAGTTTAAATACCTTTTTATTTATTTATTTATTTTGATACTGAGGATTGAACCCAGGGGTGCTCAAATGCTGAGCCACATCTCCAGCCCTGTTTCATATTTTATATTTTATTTAGAGGCAGAAACTCTCACTGCTGAGTGTCTCACTAAGTTGCTGAGGCTGACTTTGAACTCATGATCCTCCTGCCTCAGCCTCCCAAGCGCTGGGATTACAGGCATGTGCCACAACTCCTGGCACTTTTTAAAACATTTTTATTATTTTGGGGGTATGTGCATTTTCTTTAAAATGGTAGTATTCACTTTTTAAACTTTAGGGATATACCTTATCCTTTTTATATTTCTTATCATGCAGATAGTATTTTAGAATTAATTATAATGAACTATACATTTCTATAAAAAGAGATTCAAAATCTGAGGATTGATTAAATGTCATTTATAATGTGCTTTGTAGAGCAAAGGTGTAGGACAAGTAATGTTGTCTTTAGTTTATAGGTTGATGTCAATTTTTGGTTTCAATTGTCTCCACCAAAATTAGGTGCCATATGTTAGGCTACAATTTCTCATAAGTCCAGCAACAGCCTGCTTAGGAGAATACTCCAAGCTGACATGAAGAATGCTTTCTAAACCTCTCAGAGTCTGCTTTGGCTCTGTGTTTTGTGAGACAGTTTTTCTTTCTCAGCTCATCGACCTTGAAATCATAATTTGCAAGTGTATGTAGTATGCATGGAACATTTTAACAATGCTCAATGAGTATGACACTTAGAAAGATATTTGTAGAATAAACCTTCCTCTCCAAAGTGAGCTCTCAATTAATTGTGTACAATTTATCTACTTTATATATTATCTGTGAATTGTCCTTCAAGGCTGGCTCCTTCCAGTCATCCACTTACTCTTCTTCTTTCTCCCTTCTATTTTTCTATCTCTTCACCCACCATTTATTTCACAAAATTGTAGGGAGAGAAGATATTATATAACCTTAACATAACTTGAAATAAATATAATCAGGGAAGAGAAATGATTGCAAAAAAGTGTACTTTTTTCTCAAGTCAGACATGATTACTTAGGGACCATCTGAGCTATTACTTTACTTCATAGTATGGACAGTCTATAGTGAGCTATATTTATTGTGTCCTTTGCATCATGAGAGGAATTGATTTTTAATGGTTAACCATGGAATTTTTTTCAAATATAGCCTTGTTCTACAAATAAAACAATTTGATGGAAAATAGTGAATTAAATTTTTATTTAATTGCTCTTTATTTGTCAGTGGTGTGATTTCAGATATTTATGCAGCCATTTGTTGATGCTGTTTAATGTCTAATACAATCTCTTATTTAAAGTTAATATTCCAGTTGGGTATGGTGACGCATTCTCATTCCTGTAATCCCAGAAGCTCTGGAGGCCAAGGCAGAAGGATCCCAAGTTCAAAGCCAGTTTCAGCAATTTAGCAAAGCTCTAAGCAATTTAGTAAGACTCTGCCTCAAAATAAAAAAATAAAAAGGGCTGGGAATGTGACTCAATAGTTAAGCGCCCATGGATTTAATACCTAGTACCATTAAATAAATAAATTTTAAAAATAAAAATAAATTAATGTTCCTTTATATTTTCACTATTTTAATTTGATGAAAACTAAAATATGTCAGATTTTTAGATTTTGCACTAATGTGTATGATTGCCTAAGATTCTTTCATGAAAATCAATTCCAGGCATTTAGAAATTAAAGTTTTTAAAGTAAGGAATGTCATTGTTTTAGTTAGCTGTTAGTCTCTTATGACCAAAATATTGGACAAGAACAACTTAGAGAAGGAAAATTGTATTTGTGGCTCATGATTTCAAAGGTTCATTCAGTATATGGTTAGCTGACTTCATCACTCTGGGCCTGAGGTAAGGCAGACTATCTTGGAAGAAAGGTATAGCAGAGGAATGCTGCTGGGATCCTGGCAGCCAGGAAGCTGAAGGGCCCAAAGGCAGGGAGGAGAGCCAGGGACAAAATACAGTCCCCAAGGGCACAAACTCAGTGACCTACTTGCCCTAGCCATGCCCCACCTGCATATAATTACTAGCCACTAGTCCATTCAAACTATCAATCAATCAAATAGATGAATCCACTGATGAAGCTGCTACTCTTGAAATCTAATCATTTCACCTTTGAAAATCCCTGCAGGGCCTAACATGTTAGCTTTTTAGGGGACACCTCATATCCAAACCATAATATACATGTAGATGTTACCATTATTATTTTGTGCAGAAGAACTTATAAATAAAGGTCTTAAACATATATAAAACTCTAAAAGGCATATGACATATTATAGAATAATTATTTGTAATAAATCTGAACAAAGACCTTCTATAAGTAGAGTTATGTACTCTTAAATTAAAAACAAGTATAAGTAGTAATAAAATCTAGTCTTCTTTAAATATTTTAACTCGGTTTATAGATTGGATCATAGTTTGAAATATAAGATTTTGATTCGTAGTTTCAAGTATATACTTGTTTTGCTATGTATTTTAATACTTTTGAGGTAAGCTGAGTAGCTACAGCAGATTAATAAATGTTTCTTTGATGGACTTATGTGTTTTCATCCTTTTAAATTTTGTAGAAATCTACAAAAAGTTACATAACCAATTAAATTTTTAAACTACCTTTTCAGAATACAAATGCCAGTTTGAACATGAGGAAAAGAACAAATGCCTTGGTCCACTCGGAATCTGATGTTGGCAACAGAACTGAGGTGGGAAATCATCCTAGCAAATCTTCTCCAGTTGTTCAAGAATCCTCTGAAGCCACATCTAAGTCATACTTAGCTTCCAGTCCAAACCCATTCAGCCGGGCAAATGCAGCCGAAACGATATCTGCTGCAAGAGCACTTCCATCTGCTCCTTCTCCTACTCCTAGTCGAACTGGGTGTGTGTTGAGACAAACATCAGTTGGATCTGCTTCTACTCGTCGTGTGTTTGGCTCAAGACTGGAGCGAATTAAGACCACAGTTAACACCCCAGGGGCTTCTGGGAAGTCATCAGCCTCTGCTCCTCCTCCTGCTCCTCCACCTGCTGGATCTGGCACAAGTAAAATAGACAAATATGCCCGTATTCTCTTTCCAGTCACATTTGGGGCATTTAACATGGTCTATTGGGTTGTTTACTTATCTAAGGACACTATGGAGAAATCAGAAAGTCTAATGTAATTTTGTTGCTATAGTAGTTTCCTAAAAGATGATGAAAATGCAGACTATCTTTTTAAATGTTTTTAAATATAATTATTCTTTACTAAAATAAAAATTCTATGTAATTTTTCCACTTAAAAAAATATAAGCCGGTTATTGGGAGAGTTAATTAATTCCTCAGTGAAGAGAAAGTGAACCATTTTTCTTTTCAGAAAGAGGGTTTAAAAAGGATCTATTCAGCATTCAAATTAGATGGAATACAGACCATCCTGGAAAGTTGAAACAAGAGTAATAGGGCTATTAGAGATATGTGGTGCACATTTTTGCATTGAAATTTGAAAACCGACTATGACACTTTTAATACCCAATGAATATCAACCAGCCACCCTAAATTTCCCAGTGGCACTGCCCTTAACCAGAATCATTTATTTGATGTCATATGCAGTGACCTTTGGAGATTCTCTTAGAACCCGCAAGAAAAGGATTTTACCAATTAAACAAAACATCGGTGAGAGGAAAACGGAAGAAAACAAACACTGATCAATAGAGAGAAAACTCTGCGGAGTCAAAAACGAAGACATAGACCAGGGGAAATGTGTTTCCTTTCATATGTTGGCCAAACAGTACTTAAAGGTTGACTTGAAATTTTGTGCTCTGAGCCAAAGTTTAACTCCTTGTATGAATTCTTTTTCACAGTAGCTCATTCAGGTATGTACTGTATTTACTCCCTGCATACTTATTCAGAGCCTAAAGCCTCTTGTGTTCCAGGCACTCTCCTAGACACTGTGTCCTAGGAAAGCTCTGTCACAGTTACCTACAATATTATTAAAATAGTAGAACAGTCAATGCATGCTGAAGAACTATAGCCTAGCAGAGGACTTTGCATTCTTTAATGAAGGAAATATAGTTAGAGTCGACATCATATCCACAATATTGTTTCTCCTCCATTGGTAGAGGATAACAGGTATATTTGTTCACTTAACTACTTTGAGATAAGTCAATGTTAGTACGATTTCAGCAACTGGTTTTCAAAATACAATGAAAATGTGGTACAGATTACTCTGTAAGTGACAAAAGCACCATATATCTGGAAAATAAAAATCTGGGCACTGTAAGACCTGATAGATTACGTGTCTCAAATTTGAAAAGGATCACTGAATTTGATCAGAATCACAAAATATTCAGAAATAAGAACTTTTTAGATGTTTTTCCCAACATGGATCTATCTTAGCTGCTGAAATGCCAATCTTCGGACATTTTTTTGTGTCCATAGTTCTGTACTTTCAGGTAGATTTTGTATTTGTTTTCTGGGAGTTTTGGTAAGGTTTACAATGAAAGCAGCAAAAGAAAGAAATGAAGAAAAAATTCATAGCCACAGGGTGGGATGCCACTGACTCTGTTATGTAATTCAACAGGATTTTCACTTACTGACTTTTCTTGTATTACAAAGCTTAACAACTTAATTGGATTTCTTGCAGCTGTCTTATGCAGCTCAATTTAGGTCTGTTGGGTTGATTTGGTTGTTGTGTTACTTCCAGATTTTTCTTCTATATTTCTTTCTACCTGCTCTAGGTGTGTGTGAATGAAAGTGTTCTTAGTGTTTGGGGGAACGTTTTGATAGAATGGCTACCTTGCAGATCAGAGCTCTTATTTTTTTAGAAAAGAAACTATATAAATCAATTGGCATCAACTTTTTAGTTATTATATTGCCTTGTAATAGTTGTATATGAACCCTGTAAAATGTCACAAATATTAATTGTAAATCATATTTGAGAATCCTTCTTAGACAAGAATCTATCTCTAGGTATTTCATAGAATCAATACATTTTAAGACTAAAAGATGCTATAGAAATCATCCAGTCCAAATCCCTCATTCACGATTTGATTTTAGTAAAATGAGGCCCAGTAAAATCTGTATATATGTATATATTTAATAAAGAGTACTTGTACCAAAAAGCTTATAAATTACTTTATGAATGTGAAAAGATTACTGGCCTTGAGGTCAGTGCTTGGAATTGTGGTTTGAAACTCTGATCATTTAGTATTCAGACAAAATGACTTTATTTCTTTGGTAAGGAAAACTTACTCTGCTTTTCTATTCATGTATTCTTAAGAAACATTTTACCAACTTCCTTTTTTAAAAAAGAAAATTCCTCTTTAAATTTTGTAGGTTTTAAGGGGATAAAAAGTAAATGACTTTAAATTTATAGATCATAGATCCAGGTGAACTTACTGGGGTTTTGTTTGTTTATTTGTTTGTTTTTGGTTTTGTTTTTTGACTCTGGTATATGAAGATTTAAAAATAAATTGGTGGCCAAACCCTGAAAGGACAAACTTAGCCCAGGATTCTTAATTGTTTATTCAAATAAATTCACCAGAAAGCCTACTCATTAGTACCGAAAGGAATTATTTCACTTTCATGCAGTGTTAATAATAATGTGTGCTTTATTTTCTCAAACTAAAGTCCATCAAATTCATTCAATGATTTTCACTTTTGTCATCATTTCTGTCTTCTTAATAACTCAGAGGTACATTGAGTAAAACACTCCTGTGATGAGCCAATGACTCTTCACCCATTAGAAAATCTCATGAGAATACTTAGGGGATCCCAAACTCCTTGTAATTTGGATAAAAAAAAAAGAATAGTAGTTCTGGTTGAGAATGAAGCTTTTGTATACCTGTCTTTTAAAGGTGAAATTCATAATCATTTCATTTTGTACTAGTAGAGTATCTGTATCCAGTTTTCAAATCTGAGTTGTCCACTAACTGCTGCATAATCATTTCATTTCCTCCAAGCATGACTAGTTATACAAATATATTTACATGATTAACCCACAGTTAAAAATGACTTTCATTTGTGCATATACATAGTCCTTAGAAAACATACATTTTAGGTTGGGCCTGACAAATCTTGAATTAAAGTAGGCAGAGTAGAGTCACCTTCTTTAATAGATGAGTCACAGAGAAGTTAGTGACAAAGATAAAAGCAAAAGGCTGAAATGAACTGTTGAAAGGTCATTTTTCAATCACCTCACCTTAGCAATAATTTTGTCTCAGGCAATACAAAAAGCAAAAATTTGTTAGTGCTAATTCTGTATGAGGGGCAAAAACTCCACTCTCCAGGCCTGTTTTCCAATGATCCCTTCTTCTAGATTTGTGAACCATCTCTAGGGGAAAAGCACTGAAGAGATAGGTCACTTGATTTTAATTGTGAGTGTATTGTGGTTTTAGACAATTAAACCACTCTAGAACTGATTTCTTATTTATAACAGGGAGGGGATGGATTAAATGATATCTGAGTTTTTAAAGTGCTTAATAGTCTGACTTTCATAGTAAATACAGGCATATCCTTGCAATACATACATTCAATATTTTGAGTCACAAATAGATGAATATTGGAAAAAGTTTCTATTTAATAGCATTAAACTATGACTTATATCAAACTAAGGTGTCCTCCTCATCAAAAAGATTCTTTCTCTCTTTTTCTTTTTTTTTATAACAGTGATTAAATCCAGGGGCTCTTAATCACTGAGCCACATTCGCAGACCTTCTTATTTTTTATTTTGAGACAGGTTCTCACTAAGTTGCTTAGAGCCTTGCTAAATTGCTGAAGTTTGCTTTGAACTTGCTCATCTTCCTGCCTCAGCCTCCTTAACTGCTGAGATTACAGGGTATACACCACCATGTCTAGAAAGATTCTCTAGTTAGATTGGGTATTTCCCCATGAAAAATTTTACCTGTTAAAGAATATTGGTTATTTCATTTTCCTGGATTTTTATTCATCTTTATTTAATGGGCTCCTTCCCAGTATTGGGTACCATGCTGACTTTTAGATATATAAAGACAAAATTAGTCCCTTTCTTTGGACATGGTCACAGTCTAGCAGCTACAATAGATGTATAGAGGAAAAATTGTGGAGTACAATAAAGTGCTTCAATTGTATAGAGTAAGGCAAAGATTATAGGGATACTCCTCAGGCACCAACATATGTATCTCAAAACCTACAATACTCATAATAAATATTTAATAAATATTGTTTAAGAAATAAAAATTCATGCAAAAATCCATGATAAACAAAATATGCAAATTATATGATCAATATTAATGTTTCTTTTTTCCTCCAGCTCTAATATTTCTGGCCATATCACTGATATAGATGATGAAAAAAGAATGCACATAACTTCATAAGTTTACTGATAAGGAGGAAAATAAAGTAATAACAGAGAAGGCTTCACAGAGATGATAATAGAGTGAAATTTATAGAATAATTTGGTCTTCTTCTGGCCCCACTCCACCCTGCTTTCACAAACAAACAATAAATAAAAGCACATTTTTATCACCATCTAAAGTCTGAGACAAATGGAAATTAGAAAGTTCAAGGGAAACTTATCCCAGATAGTTCAGGATGGTTCAAGGGAAGTGAGGAAAGCATCAATCCAGGCGAATGAGAGTTATTATCGGAAAGACCTGGCAGGGCTGGATTAGGGAGAATTGAAAGGTCATTTTTCAATCACCTCACCTTAGCAATAAGGTGAAACTTGCTAAAAGTTAGACTAGACTCAGATTGTTGGGACAATTTTGTTAAAATCTTGTAGGATTTTAAGATAAAACTAACATGTTTGTGTTTGTATTTTAGAGAAACTATCTGATTTCTCTGTGGATGGGAGGGCCATAAGTCTAAAGTAGTAGAACAACTGAAATCTTTCATTTTTCCTTTTAATCTCTGCATTTCCTTTCACTTTCTTTTTAACTCAGTGAATTTATTGTATTTTGTAAAATGAAACATGATTACTAGAAATAAAGGCATTCAAAATTTTAAAACAATTTCAAATTTCTACTACCCAGAAATTAACATTTTGTGAATATCATGTCATACCTTTGTATGGATATGTTTGTATAGAAGAGTAGATTAATTAAAAGACAATTTCATAAAATATAAGACCCAGATATGATCTATGCTATATGTGCTGTTGGTTAACTAATAACTAACTTGAATTTATCTCAATTTAAGATAAAAATACCAAGGTAAAACTGAAGAAATCATTGATGTTTATTTAGGTAATTTTCTTCAAAACAAGACATTTTAAGGGCTCTATACTTTTTTATCTCGGATTTCAATCATTATTTTGGGAAACTTTTCTCCTTTTATATGTCTAAACAAGTTTTTTTTCTTTAAGAATACCAATTATGTAAAATTTCTTTTACATAATTTCTAACTATTCATAATATTCTCTATAATTATTTTTTATTTTTAGATTTTTTGTCAGAAATATCCAAATGATTTTTCAGTTCTTTTTATTTTATAACTTCAAATGTAATTTAAACATCATAATTTTTTATTTCATGTATTCTTTTGCTCTACCATTCCATTTTTTATCTTTTCTGCTGTTTATTTTCCCTTTGTTGAAGATATTATATCTTCTTTGAACTTCTAACTCTCTCTTAGTGGGATCAATCTTTACCTCTGCCTTTTTTCTGGGCTGGTTTCTTTCTATTAATCACTGAACAAAGTCAGCTATTTACTGAACTCTAGTGTGGGAAGTAGTGGGAGGGTGAGTCAGATCAGCCCACAGAAGCTATTTTAATTTCAGATGTCAAGCCCACCTCCCCAAATCTGTTTTATCTTCTTCCCAGAGACCATATTTTTTCTCTATTTTTGACATCTAGAGGTCTCTGTAGTTCACAGTGTAAATCTCTCAGTTTTACTTTCCCTAAGTCTTTATTGCTGGTAGTTACTCTTCCTTCTCTCTCATTTCCCCACTTTAATCTGTATGATCCAGTAGACACTATCATATGTAGGCTATTAGCCATTTATTCCCCTCTACTCCCATCTCGTACCATTTGGGAACATATATCTGAATTGTATGAAAGCAGATTTTGCCTTTCTCTTGCCTGTGTATATGCTGTTTCTCATGGCAGCTTCAAACAAATTATATTTGGAGGATATCTAAGGATCATGACACTTCATAAAATATATGCCCTTCCCATGATACGTGCCATTTTAACTTGGTTTCTCCTATTAGTGCAAGTGGAAAGCTAGTTATTACAGTTTATTGTCAGTTATTAGTTAGTTATGGAAAGGGTTTTATTTTTTTCCCAAGTTTTCATCCCTTTTTAAAAATTTTGTTTTGTTTTTGATAGGCCTTAAGAACAGGAAAGTGAACTGTAAATGCTTTTATTTCATCATCTTTAATGAAACCACCATCTGTTATTTGCATTTACATTAGCTCAGGGGTTGACAGGACAAGACTATCTTTTACTGATATGGTAACCAGAGCTAAGGAGATTTTACCTACATATCAGGTATCACTGGAATTGTGCATTAACCATGGATTAAATCTGGATTAAATCAACCATGTGACACATCATAATACTGGGAAGGATAAGGAACTGATGATATAAAGGCCTCCAAAACAAAAGGAAACTCTTCTGTTTTCCTGAATAGTATTTCTGCAACCTTTCTTAGTTTCCCTTAGGGAATCCCAGAGTTCATTCCTGTGAGATTGCTTTCCTTTCTTTTTCTTTTTTTCCCCTCTTTATTCCTTTCATTTGTAGGCTTCACTTTTCATTCATATATTTCTATCTCTATGCTAATTTTGGTACACCACTTATATTTTACTGTTCATCAGTAGGTCACTGAAGTGGTAATTCTTCTAATCAACAAGACAACAATTTTAATGTACTTGAAATGATAATGAGTTTATGGGAAATTTAGAAAAGTTTATGTAGTCTTAATAGCACATCTTTTCTCACCAATAGAAAATAAGTGGAATGCTCATCTTAAATAAAAAAGAAATGTTGAATAAAATAATGCCCTTTCTTTTTACTAGTGACTAATTCTTTATTTCAAATGCAAGTATGTAAAGAAAATACGAAAATTCAAGAGTAATATTTTATCAAAGAATCTACTGATTTCATTGAAAATACTAATCTGGGAAAAAATTGTACAAATATATTTGAAATGTCAGTAGATGCTCTCAGGCTATGGCAGAATTAGTCATAAAGCATACAGGATAGTTCTGTACTAAACACTAAAATTTAGTACAAATTACATTATGATTGCATTTTTCTACTGTATATGCATCATCTAGTTTTTCATCACTTCCACTCATTCTATGTAGATCTAATTGCCTTAAGATATAACCTACTTTGGAAATAGCTCCCTGTAATGCATTGAGATTCATTGTGTAATCAAAGAATAAACAAATACTGTCAGTAAAATATTGTTTTAAAAAAGAGTTGTTGTAGATTTGTATTGACAAAAATTTCTCCCTTATACTTTATATAATGTGTAGGAATATAATGTGAAGAACAATTAGTTTTTTAATATGCATCTACATCATCTCTTTAATGACAATATTTACTGAATTCATTTTTTTCCAAATATGTCTCATTTTTATTCTTACTATAGAATATGTTAAAAGAGTGTGGCTGGCATATACATGGAAAAAAGTTTATGATGTTCCATAAGACATTTTTATTTTGCCAATTACATAATATTATTTTAAAAGTCAAATTAATATGCAAATTATAGATTCCCATTAATTTTCATACAAATTACTGCTTAGAATTGAAATAAAACACATCTCTTCAGGGGAAGGGAAAGAAACTGATAACAGAAAATGTATATTCTTGCAGTTAATCTTTGGCATATTCTTTTCCAGGTTTTTATATTTGTAATCTATAGAGTGCATTTCAATTTTGCCAAATACAATGTATTTGCCAAATGCAGCTTTGCAGATACAGTGCAGAATGTTGGCTTGTCATTTTATTGATTATGCATATTGTGTCCTACTGCAAGAATACAGTAAATGAGAGCTTTCAATTTTCAAGAGACAAACAAATTATTGTTGGTTGATAAGGTAAGGCAAGGTTGCAGGATTTTAAGATAGTTTAACTGTAAAATAAATAGCAATCCAGTTTTCATCAGATATGACATTGAATAGCCAGAATATGAAATATAAGGTTAAATTTTCCACTGATTTATCCTTAATGAAGTGAAAGCCCTAATAATTACTTTGATGCTGAAAATATTAAGAACCCAAAAGGAGATAAAGATGTTCTTTGGTTTTTCAGTTGAACTGAGGAATATAAATAAAGTAAACTCTCTTCCTCCTTTTCCCAAATAATTTTAAATTGTTTAGTTGGACAGTTGAAAAGATTCCTGAGTACAGGAGTAAAACAATAATGCATATTTTATAATGTCATAAAAACTAAATGTGTTGTCCTCCAAGCTTCATTATTCTTCCTGAATCAGAATAGCAAATGTAAAATATGGCATTTATAATGGCTCAAATTTTGGTTAAAGATACAGGTATTTTACTTTCATGGAGAATAGGATTTTCCCACAAAGCATGCACTTAGGCTTTTAGCAATCACCCCCTGAAATTGGTGATTTTATTCTTGGTAGAAGGATTACTGTGGTCCATTATAGTAAGGAGAAGAGCATATTGCCATGATTTTGCTCTCAAAATTTCTTATAAAAGGCATATTATCAAATATTAGTATTAAAAATCATCAGGAAATGGTTTTTTAATGTTTCTCTTTTAGCAGATTTCCCTTTCTTCTCAAAGCTAAACTTACTATTCATGGTAGTAAACTTCCTTTGCTCCTTAAAACAAAGTTTATATTCAAGCATAATACTGTGAAATAATTCAGGTCTCAATTTCTCACTGGAAGGTTATTCTTTAAAATAGGAAGGATTTAAATTTCAATAAAATTTAATCACAGATACTTTGTATTTTAAGATAAATGTGTTGGAGCTAAATTCTGGAATCATTAAAATATAGAACATGTATCTTCTAATGTGTTTTTCTATTTAATTTAAAACAATAAACATAAATATCTTTGGAATATTTTTGGCTTATGTTTTTTTTCTGCATTTAAATAGACTTCCAATAAACTGGTCACAGTATTGTATCAAACATGTTTCACTTTTGAAAGCTTGTTGCTGTCCTGAATATTCCTAGTTTTCACTATCCTGTAATTGCCTGTAAGACCAGTACCATCTGGATTGCAGTTTTGGCAAGTTTAATAATTGGGACATTTTTTGCTAGGTAACATGGATGAAGAACAGTTATAGGATCTATGATATCTGATGTGACATCATAAAACCTTTAAGTTTGTGGTTCTGACTTTCTAACAGGGTATCAAGTGTGTGTGTGTGTGTGTGTGTGTGTGTGTATACGTGTGCGCGGGCACGCGCGTGCGTGCACATAGTCATGTACTTGTGTATTTCTGATGGGTTCAACTCAAGAGAAAGGGCCAAAATCAATCTGTGACTTAGTCCTAACTTGGAAGATCAAAGTAAATTTCTAAGAAATGGAATGAGATTAATGTATAATAAATGTGTTCATGCTTTTCAATATTTAGCTTGGAATATTAGCTGCAACTATTTTGATGTGATGAAGCATTTTGAACAATATGACTCTCCTTAATGAAGTTTTTTTTGTTTTATATCTTATAATGTCTCATGAAATGTTTTGAATATAGTGTTCTGAAGCAACTGTTTCCTGAAGGAAAAAAAATCAGCCTTTTGACTGTATCTCTTAAAGAGGAGAAAAGGCCTGAGAGGAAAAACGTTGACCACAGACTGTGTACAATACACTGTCCTATATGAACACTTACTCAAACTAAAAAGTTTTTTCTCAGCAAAAGAAACAATAAGAGAGGTAAATAGAGAGCCTACATCCTGGGAACAAATCTTTACTCCTCACACTTCAGATAGAGCCCTAATATCCAGAGTATACAAAGAACTCAAAAAATTAAACAATAAGAGAACAAACAACCCAATCAACAAATGGGCCAAGGACCTGAACAGACACTTCTCAGAGGAGGACATACAATCAATCAACAAGTACATGAAAAAATGCTCACCATCTCTAGCAGTCAGAGAAATGCAAATCAAAACCACCCTAAGATACCATCTCACTCCAGTAAGATTGGCAGCCATTATGAAGTCAAACAACAACAAGTGCTGGCGAGGATGTGGGGAAAAGGGTACACTTGTACATTGCTGGTGGGACTGCAAATTGGTGCAGCCAATTTGGAAAGCAGTATGGAGATTTCTTGGAAAGCTGGGAATGGAGCCACCATTTGACCCAGCTATTCCCCTTCTAGGTCTATTCCCTAAAGACCTAAAAAGAGCATGCTACAGGGACACTGCTACATCGATGTTCATAGCAGCACAATTCACAATAGCAAGACTGTGGAACCAACCTAGATGCCCTTCAATAGATGAATGGATAAAAAAAATGTGGCATTTATACACAATGGAGTATTACTCTGCATTAAAAAATGACAAAATCATAGAATTTGCAGGGAAATGGATGGCATTAGAGCAGATTATGCTAAGTGAAGCTAGCCAATCCCTAAAAACCAAATGCCAAATGTCTTCTTTGATATAAGGAGAGTAACTAAGAACAGAGTAGGGTCGAAGAGCATGAGAAGAAGATTAACATTAAACAGGGATGAGAGGTGGGAGGGAAAGGGAGAGAGAAGGGAAATTGCATGGAAATGGAAGGAGACCCTCAGAGTTATACAAAAGTACATACAAGAGGAAGTGAGGGGAAAGGGAAAAATAATACAAGGGGGACAAATGAATGTCAGTAGAGGGGGCAGAGAGAGAAGAGGGGAGGGGCGGGGAGGGGAGGGGGGATAGTAGAGGATAGGAAAGGCAGCAGAACACAACAGACACTAGTATGGCAATATGTAAATCAATGGATGTGTAACTGATGTGATTCTACAATCTGTATATGGGGTAAAAATGGGAGCTCATAACCCACTTGAATCGAAGTGTGAAATATGATATATCAAGAACTATGTAATGTTTTGAACAACCAACAATAAAAAATTAAAAAAAAATAAAATAAAACATAATGTAGAAAGTATTCTTGTTGTCACTTGTATAACATTGGGGAAATTCCTCAATATTTACTGTATTCAATCAGTTATATATGATTCCATACTCAGGTAAGAAAATTTTTATTAAAATTTTAATATTAAAGTATATCATCTAGTTATTTGTTTTATATATACAGTATACATATACATATTTATATATATATGTATATATATACACATATATATACATATGTGTGTGTGTGTATTTCTGAAGGTCTTACTGATTACAAGATCTTTTTTCCAATTGAATTAAATCCTATTCATAAACTCCCTGCCTCTTGTTTCCATTGTTGGTAATAGAGAATTATATCTAATGCAGAAGAAGTTGGAAGTCAAAATTTAAAAAAAAAATCTACAAATTGAAGCATAAACAGAGCTGTAGAAAAAACAAGCTAATGGAAGACTTGCTGGTATAATAACCTTTCAAACTGGATTAAATTGTTTGCTTAAATTATACTGGTTCCATTTGTTTATTTTAATCTTCTATGAATAATTTCTACATAGCTCACGTTAGAGCAATAATAGTCAAAGGTCAATTTTCTTTTTGACTAATTGGAAGCCAAAGCTCATTGCTGGTCTCTTGGCTATGAAAATAAACCCTGGGGTGGTTCAGTAATTGTTAACTTGTTTACAATGTTACCTAATCTGTATTATCCTTCCTGCATTCTACAAATTAATCTCACAAGAAAAATTACAAGAAATTTTTGCTATTATATTCTAGCATGATTTGCTGATGTCAAATACAAATCCATCATGTGAATTCTTAAATGCTATCTCTTTCATTTAATTCCAGAGAATGTAAAATAATATCATCCATTTTACATTGGTTTGGATTATGTTCACATTTAAAAAGTCTTCAGGGTAACATTTTTCAACTTGGCATTCTAAGCAAATGGATTCATGATTCTGAGTTGTGAGCATTAAGGTAAATGCTAATCAATGGGATCATTTATTAAGCAAGGTTCATATGTTTGTTTCTGTAATAATATTGTTGTCAACACATCCCACGTGCATCTATCAGTTGAAACCAGACAGACCAAGACATAGTACTCTTAACAGAAGCATAAACCTCAATTGGCATATTATGCTAACATTTGGATAGTGTTTCCATTATTTTCTTGTCTTTAGTTTCTAGCATTTTGCTTACTCTCTACTTAGTGTAACATAACATTATGTGGTGCCAAAACTCCTTCCATCACAGTTTGTGTTGTTCCTACCAGTGCCACAAAGAGAAAAGAATAAAAATCTTCTCCCTTCTCTTGCAAAATAGAGGTAAAGACATCTATTTTTGTTTATTTCAAATGCATGCTTTTCCAGCCTCTATATCATATAATACATAATGCTCCTTCATAAATGAGAACAATATATTCTTCACTCATAAGTAAGAATAGATCTAATGTTTCTTCCAGCCAAAAAACCAAATGTGAAAGGAAAAGCTATTGCTCTTTATTTTGAAAAAAATTGTATTGTGAATAGCATTATACCTCCTGGCCACTCTAAGAATAAACTATACATAGAATGGAAAATGCCCTTCAGAGACTGTGCTAACTGAATTATTCAAATACCTTCCTCAAAGAACAGATCTAAAATGTTGGCATTCGTCATAAAAGTTGAGTGATATATAATCTATTTTCCATTACACAATTACTTCTTGCATTACTGCTCAAGTGTTGACCTTATTTTGGCTTTTTGGTCTCATCTTTCCAGATCCACCCATTCTACCTGATGATGTCAGAATATTTCTAATACACACTTGTGTTCATTTCACACTTGCCTTGGAGTTTCTGTCAATTCTCTATCACCTAAGAGAATAAAATATGAATTCTTTGTCACAATATTCAGGGCCCAACACAATCCAACCCTAGGTCACTTTTATTCTTTCCCTCCACCCAGGATTAAATGAAATTCTCTGAACATATCCTTCATGGGCATGCCTTGGTGTGTCAAATAAATGTTTTGTCTGTATTAATCTTTCTTTTGCTTTGTATTGCTGACATTCTCCTATAAATTTCAGTATTTATAACCTCACTGTTGGAGAATATCTTTGATTTTCCCGAGTAGTATTAACTCATGGCATTTCCTACATCCTCTACATCTCTTTTGTGGGATCTCTAATATGAATTCATGATTATTTGGTACCATATCTTCTTGTTTTAATTTCTAAAGTTACTGTATTTGGATTAAGGATGGATAAGCATACTATTGGATCATAAGTACACAACTTTATATTGTAAGTTTAAAATACCCATTTGTCCAATGACAAGGACAAGGCAAAGCCCAAACTTCACATTCATTTCCTGGGTTTTGTTAGCAATGTATTCTGTTTTAAAATTATGTTGTTATTTGAGTTGTTTGCATAATAGTATAGACATTTAGTATAGTACTGCTGGGGACAAAATTAAATTGTTGCAGATCTAATTATTCTTATTTTGTGTATATATATATATATATATATATATATATATATATATATATATATATAACTAAGCCAGTGATTTCCTCTATCTGATGCCTGATTAATAAGAGATGACTTCTTTATAATACAAATTTAATCTTTTCATCACTATGTAAAAATAAGTTAAAAATAGAAATTAAGCTATGGAAATAAAAAATAGAGTAGGGGTAAAACATTCTAAAGATCTAAGGTGTATGAAATAAAAATTAACATTTTTAATTTTTTAACATATTTTGTTGTATCTCTTGTCCACATATACATTCCTTTTTGGGAATTCTTAACACCTCTAGGCTATATTCACTTCAAGAGCAGAATAGATGTGATTGTGTGTTTTCTTTGACTTTCAATTTTCAGCATTACTCTTTAGACTGTAGATAATATAGTATGCTGATAATATTGTATGAATGGGAGATCATATGAAAATGATTCTTATGTAAGTATTTTTCTTTTTTAAGAGGTAGCAAGCCTGGAATTATATAAGTATTAAAATC